TTATATATATATATATAATATAATATATATATATATATATTATATATATATTATATATATATATATATATATGTGTGTGTGTGTGTGTGCGTGTGTGTGTGTGTGTGTGTGCGTGTGTGTGTATGTGTGTGTGCGTGTGTGCAGTCATACAACTTACGCAGTGATAGCAATTTTGCCCTTCTCTCCCACCGGTATGACTACAGTGCTACTGTCAGTTCTGCTCTCTGGCACGGTGTCGTTTACATCATTCGTTACGGATTTAATGCTGCAAGTTGGAAATGGACATACATATGACTTTCAGTCAAACTGCGTTCGTATACACAATAGGCAATAAATACATACAAAAATTGCAAATAGGATTTAATTGTTAAGATCGGGCACAGATAGGCTTCAAGCCCTAGAATGTTAAAAGAATCTGGACACTTTGTACGTACATACATGCACATCCAGCACCTCATGTATATCACTAATTTTAACCACAAGACTTCATCACAAGTGTATGTATATACAACACTATAACACTTGAATATTCATATGCAACACTGCATCACAAGCATACCCATATACATAACGTTACTCATACGACAAGAAACCGCACGCACACGGAGCGCCATTCAGAATACACAACCACCTAACAACAGTAACGTGTACACACACTTACAACAGCTCCACGCACAAGCATACACACACAAACACGCACCGGTTGAGCAAGTGGTCTTTGATGGTCTGGATCTGCTCAGGTGTCAGGGGTTCACCCTGTTGTATGTTGTAGTTGTTGGGAGACGGTCGTGGGTACGTGCTAGGGAAGACCACCGGTTCATTCTCTGGCGCAGGAGGGTGAGCGATCATCCTGGTATTGGAGAGGATGGGAGGGTGAGTAGGGTGGCTACTAGGGACAGATGTAAAGGCTGTGTTTGAATGTGCAATACACCCCAGCACCTATCAATATATGACAAAGAGTTGTACCGCAGTACACAGCTGTACCTCGACCACACACGTACACAGAAAGGTTTTCCCTGCCCATGCCTTTGTATAGCAACCACATCCACATCCACACACACACACACTCTCACTCTCTCATCGCCACAGCACACTCTCCGTCTGTATCTGTACAACTGTATCCCATCACCACACCCTCTGCATCGTCCCACTTACTCGTACAGCTGGTCCTGGTTGATGGGGGCTGTGTCGTTCGTGTGATCTGCTGCGTTAGTCGCTGCCTTGTTAGCCGCGGCTTGTTGGCGGTCGATCAGTTGGCTGTGGTGTGGTAGTCGAGGTTGGGGATTGAGTATGGTAGGGCTCAAAGTGTAAAGAATGTATTAAATACAGGAGTTGGGGAAGTAGAATACAAGGTCATGATAAGGTGGTGGATACAGAAAATAGGAGATATGCACTAATGTTCATGTATGGGCTACATGACGAACACCCGATGATGTGCATTGCAATCACTTTATGAGTGAGTAAACATTAATCAGATCGCATGAAGGAGATTAAACCCTCCGATCTTGAGTGAGTTCCCAATGTGGTCAGTCAACAGTCTATGGTGTCGCGCCAGTGCGCCTTGCGGACACACAGGCTGACTGTTCACTTGGAGAGCTTACTCATCTCGAGTAAAGTATTCATCGTATTGTCAGTAGATACCTTGCTGTGGGCGGATCTTCACCTCCATACACATTCGGGATTGGGAGGGTTTATCTCCTGTGTGTGATCTGATTAATGTTTATTAGCCCATAAAGCGACTGATTGCAATACACCTCATCGTGTGTTAACACGCATATATATAGAATGGGTAAGTGCACATACGTGCAGACGTACTTTCTCACAGGCCAAGGTACACATACATATGAGTTTGTAAGGCCTAACCCCCTCCCCTCCCCCGAGTGTATACTCGTGTATATGAAGAAATACACGCGTATATGGAGAGAGTGCATGCACACAAGAACACACACACAGGCCCATTACACAAACACATACACACACACACACACACACAAGACATACTCGATGACTTGCTGCTGCGTGAGCCCTGTGCTGGTGATGGGGTTTCCATCCGCGTCCACAAACTGTCTCACTGCGCCGTCTGAGTGGTTGCTCATATGGAAGGGTTCGGGTACGCGCACTACCAGTTTCACCCCCAGGTCTTCAGTGTCTACATCTGTGCCGTTGGGAAGATACAGAACAGTTGAGAGAGTGCGATGGTGGTGCGTGTGTACACGTGGGTGGGTGCACGTGGGTGGGTTCATGAGGGTGTTCTGTTAATAGCACACGCGGGCGTTCTATTAATAGCTCCTAGCCGTAGGGATAAACGAACTGTCTCCCAGCGCCATCTGATTGGGTACCTTGTACCAGCACCCTGCCACTGTCTCATAGTTGCGTGAGAGTCTTGGTATATGTGTGGAGGTAGATTCTTGGTGTGTGTACGTAGGTAGAGTCGTGGTGTGTGTACGTAGGTAGAGTTTTGGTGTGTGTATGTAGGTAGATTATGATGGCCTTGGCCATGTGGAGGACAGTGGTGACCATGGCTGTCCTTTTATGAGCGTATTAAAGGCTGCCTTGTTGTGCAGCCTCAACTGTGAGTCAATGAATGCAATCCACTACCGTCGGCCTTTGCATGTAGTTAAAGAGAACAAATCTCGCCAATCACAAATAAATCTATAAATAGAACAACTACCTACCATCCACATTCCACTCCTTTGAAAGCACAGTTACCGTCTGCAGGGTGACAGAATCCGGAACATTCTGCGAACCCACTACGGAGGCTACACCCGTATCGTTGTACCATCAACCAAAGATCTATCACCAATCTACAAATAGAACCCTGCTATATAAATAGAACACTGATATATATATATATATATATAGAACATACACCTACCATTCACAATCCACGCGTGTGAGAGCACCGTCAATGTCTGCAGAGTGCTGGTATCGTATTTGTTCTGCTGCACGTCCACAATAGACGCTCCCGTGTCCTGGTCCACATTAATGATAGTCTCACCGTCGTACTCCATGTCTCGGGAGATGGGAGTGTTGAGCGCTCGTCCCTCTGAATCGGAGTCAAAGTACTCCGTAAACACCACCGACCAGCTTGCCACGTGGCTGTGGTAGTGGGGATGAAGGGCGTGGAATGGGTTAATGACACCTGACACCTGACACCTGGCAAGTGGGGCAACTGGGGGTAGTTATAGGACACGTAGCCCGTATGGATGGTAGATGACATGTGACAGGTGACATAACACTTGACATCTGACACCTGACAAGTGGGGCAACTGGGGGTAGCTATAGGACACATAGCCCGTAGGACATCGGTAGATGACATGTGACAGGTGACATGACACTTAACAGAAAAATGACACGTGACAGGCACATGACACGTGTCAGTCGAGAGAAAAATGCCGGGTAAATGACACGAGGAAGGCCGTGTCAGTGTCAAAGACGCAAGTGCAAATGCACCATCCCGAAAGCCTAGGTGACCCTCAAACTCCCGCCTATGGGGGGCAAGTCCAACTAACTTGTATCTGCCCATACACTCACTTCCACACGTGCATCTACACAGCGCAGAACGCCTCCGTACGCATATGCATACGAGTACAACATTAGTATCAAGGGGAGACAGCACTCGTCAATCGACCCTGGATTATCCGAGAGCGTCATGTGTGCGATAAAACATGTCACACGAACACGAACACGATGTGCGTCTCTGAGCACACCTCCATCTGCACGTGTACACATCTGGATGCTCGTGGACATCCAAACGCACATGTGTACCGCCAATGACCTGACGAGGCTGCCCAGGGTGCGGGAGAGGGGACTGTACTTATACGTACACTCCAAATTTTTACGCGTGTGTATTCTGCACATGCACCCCCACTCGAACTCGCACACAGATACTCAGAATTACAGAATATTATACACATATACACATCAATTCAAATAAAAAGTCCGCATATACATACACACATGCGCCCATACCACGGAAATCATTCAAACAAAAGTCTGCATATACATACACACATTACCGATTTCATTTCA